TTTGCTGCTGTTGCTAGGTGTTGCTGCTGCTGCAGTTGGATTGCCTTGCTGCTGTAGTCAGATGTTTTTGTTGCTGCAGCAGCAGCAGCGACAGGGTTTACGCATTGTTCGTTTATATTTGGTGTTGTTGCTTGTGAGCTGCAGGAGGGTGTGTCTGTTGCTGCAGCAGCAACAGCAGCAGCAACAGCAGCACCTGCCTGCCGGCTGCCTCTTCCGTACCTCGAGTGGTTGTGCGCCCAACTCGATTTGCTGCTGCAGCAGCTGCTGCTGCTTGTGGGCCCCCGCGCGTCTACCCTGGCTGCTTCTCTCGTGCATGCTTTTGCTGCTGCTCATCATCCGCCCTGGGCCTACTGCAACAGCAGCAGCAGCAGCAGCAGCGGCACGAGCGAAGGTGCGTTCACGCTGCAGCTGCTGGTGGGGTGTATAGACAGCTCGGGGAATCTGCAGCGGCTGCTGGAGGCCGCCCCAGGTGGGCAGTTGTACCGGCAGCAGCTGCTGCGGCTGCTGGGGTTTGTGCTGCTGCTGCTGCTGCTGCAGCACCAGATGTGGCTGATTGCCGCTGTTGAACGTCTACCCCGCAGCAGCCGAGCTGCTGTCTGGCAGCATGCAGACGAGCTGTGGAGGAGTACCTCTGCAGCAGCAACAGCAGCAACAGCAGCAGCAGCAGCAGCAGCGCCAAGTCAGCTCGTGTGCAGCAGAACGCTTGCACAAGTGCTGCAGTGCAACAAAATTCAGCAGCAGCTGTGGCGCTGCCTCAGCACCGCCCTGTTGATGCAGCAGCAGCAGCAGCAGCAGCAAGGCTTCCAGTCCCTGCTGCCAATAGCTGCAGCAGCAGCAAGCAGAAGCAGCACAGGCATCGATGGTTCTTCATCCTCTTTAGGACTCCGATGGTAAGCACCTACACTGCAGCAACAGCAACAGCAGCAGCAGCGCCCGCAGCAGCAGCAATGCTAGCAAAGGCAACAGCAGCAGCAGCAGCAGCAGCAGCAGCAGTAGCAGTAGTGATACCTAGTAGAGCTGCTGCAGTTCTTGTGGTTTGCTGCTGCTGTGCTTAGGACCTTGGGAGCAGCAGACAGCCGAACTCTATTTCGCTGGCAAGCCCGGGTGTACATGCAACAGCAGCAACAACAGCAGCAGCAGCAGCAGCAGCAGCAGCAGGAGACCTCGCGGGGTCTGCTGCTGCTGGCGGAGGCAGTGCTCTCCAGGTTTGCAGATTGTGAGACGGACCAACGGGTAAGCCACCACTCACCTGCTGCAGCTGCTGCTGTTGCTGTTGTTGCTGCTGCAGCAGCTGCAGCTGCTGCTGTTGCTACTGTTGTTGCTGCAGGAGCAGCTGCTGCTGCAATATGTAATTCCTCTGCTGCTGCTGCTGCTGTTGCTGTTTTCAGCGCGAGCTGTTGACGGAGTGTTTGCTGCAGCTGCTGCTGCAGAAGGGGGATGAGTCATATTCAGCAGTACGTTTGGCGGTGCAGCAGCTGATGGCAGCAGCAGCAGCAGCAGCAGCAGCAGCAGCAACGAGTGACCCAGCAGCAGCAGCAGCCGGTAGCCTCAGCGCGGATGGAGGTCACGAGAGTGAACTTCAAATAGCGGACGTCGTTGCAGCATTCAAAGAAGCTATCTGTCTTGCTGCTGCTGCTGAGAACAGCAGCAGCAGCAGCAGCAGCAGCAGCAACAGCAACAGCAGCAGCAGCAGCAGCCGGCAAGGGGTGGCGCTCGGATGGCAGCGGTTGCTGCCGCGGGTACTGGGCTATGCATGCAGCGAGACCGTGCTGCTGGAGTGTTCAACGCTTCAGGTCGCTGGGGTTTCTCCCCTGCAGCAGCAGCAGCAGCAACAGCAGCAGCAGCAGCAGCAGGTAGAAAGTCTGTGGGCACGGCTAGAGCGCAGCAGCGGCGGAGAGCTGCCGCTGCTGCTGCCAGGTGAGCTGCTGCAGTGGGTGGCGCTGGACTGTCTCTTCGAGGCTCACGAGCAGCAGGTGCTGCAGTGCAGCAGGGAAGCAGCAGCAGCAGCAGCAGATACAATTGCAGCTGTTGCTGCTGCTGAGCCAGGGCAGCAACACGCTGCGGTGGTGGATGCATGCAGTATGCTGGATGACTCCGTCTGCTGCGGTCTGCTGCTGCGCTGTCGCCCAGAGGCGCTGCAGCAGTGGGCTGTTTCCTCTCTGTTAACACTCTACAGCGGCAGCAGCAACAGCAGCAGCAGCAGCAGCAGCAGCAGCAACAGCAACAGCTCGGTGGGGGCCTCAATCGTGCGGGCTTATCTTCACTGCTGCTTCAGTGGAGGTCTTTTGGCCCAAGGGGGGT